GCATTTTCAACAGCTCAGTTGCCCTTTCCTATCCAATATGACCTAATATTAGAAAGCAAAACCAAGGCTATAAGCATCCTTGCTAGGTGGCAAAATGACAGGCATTTGCGAAGCTTGTCATAATTTAATACTGATCCATAAAAATCTTAATGTTTTATGGGGGTTGACCTCTCTTGCCAAATGTCAATGAAGCAACCAACCAATCAAACACAACAATCCTATGCTTATGATCGCAATTTAAAATGTGAATCTGTATCCTGATGCAAACATTTTGTTTGTGGTGTCAGAAGAGACGGAGTACTATTCTTTGTTAATATAGGTGACTCTTTGTGGCTTTTTTTCTAGGCTGAGAAGTTTAATAGCTTTGGGATGTTGATTGCAGAACTCTCATTTCCCCCCTAAGTATCTGCTTTGCCTTTAACAGAGTTGTCTGCAACATCCGTGTCATTTTTGCTGCAAGTGTTATCCATTTTGTATGTGCACTGTGACATCACACATACCTACAAAAGGATTGGAGCTTTCAGTGCAAAAATGATGCTGATTTCATCAGATTAAAGAAGAATTTTCTTCTGCAGGGAGAGCTATTTCCATGTTTCAAGTACAATAACTAGCTGTTGCAAGAAAAGCTTCTCTCTTAGTTTCTTTGGGTGATAGAATATGGGTTTGTGGAAATGGTAATATTGGACTGGCTTTGTTTTTCCTGATAAGTATATCCCTGTTAAGAAAGAAAGACTTGTCTTTTGCTGGGATGTTCATTAATGAAATCGACACATTGTGGCTGTAATTATTTACTGAATTTCACAACAAGCAGCATGTTTTCAAGTGAATTTATATAAAAGTTCTCTCTTCAAAACTGCACACTACGTTAAACTATAGATGGCCATAGACTGGCCAATTGAATCATTTACATTTTAGCTTAACAAACTCAGCATCAAAAATCTATCATTTTTTTCAGATTTAAGTTCAATTTAGCCTCCCTCTGTATTAATCTGAGTTTTAAAAGATGATTTCATAAAAAACATACATATTTTTCAGCATATACATATTTTTCTTTTAATAGTCACATTTTGTATGCAGTTTAGCCAGTGTTCATAATATCTATATATTCCTTTTACTCATAGATGCAATGTGTGTGCATTTTCCATGAATATTCATTTTTTTGAAAGTTACCTTTACTTCTCCCTTCTCCTGCTGAGTTAGAATAGAGAATAGAATAGAGCTGGAAGGGACCTTGGAGGTCTTCTAGTCCAGCCCCCTACTTAAGCAGGAGAACCTATACCATTTCAGATAAGTGATTGTCTAGCCTCTTCTTAAAAACCTCCAGTGATGGAGCGCCCACGATTTCTGAAGGCAAACTGTTCCACTGGTTAATTGTCCTCACTGTCAGGAAGTTTCTCCTTAATTCCAGGTTGCTTCTCTTTTTGAGCAGTTTCCAACCATTGTTTCTTGTCCTGCTCTCTGGTGCTTTGGAAAATAGTTTGATGCCTTTTTCTTTGTGGCAGCCCCTCAAATACTGGAATACTTCTATCATGCCACCCTTACTTCTTCTTTTCTTTAGACTAGCCAAATCCAAGTCCTGCAGCCCTTCTTCATGTGTTTTAGTCTCCAGGCCTTTGATCATTTTAGTTGCTCTTTTCTGAACTTTTTCCAAAGTCTCAATATCTTTTTTGTAGTATGGTGATCAAAATTGTTTTCACTATTTCAGGTGTGGTCTTACTAGGGTTTTATAAAGTGGTACTAATACTTTGCAAGATCTTGATTCTATGCCTCTGTTTATTGTATTGTATTAGCTTTTAGATTGTATTAGCTTTTTTGGCTGCTGCTGCACATTGCTGGCTCATAGTCAAATGGTCATCCACTAGGACTCCAAGGTCCCTCTCACAGTTACTGTTTTTGAGCTAATTAACCATAGCATGCAGGCAGCAGGAAGTGACTGTTCTCACAATAAGAAAACACACACACCAAATCCTGAAACACTTTATAATGTCCTGAAACCAATTTAAGGAACATGTTAGCTAGATTAATCATGGTTTCTTGGTTTCGACATAAAGAAAACTCAGGACAATCTTCACTGGCAGTATGGAAAGTAAAGGAACACAGAATTAAGGTTGTGCAAAGCTACATATTAAAAAGAAAAAAAATGCTTTGCAATGTGTGGGGATTCTCTACTTGTCTTGGCTTACTAAACGGTGCTATGCACATCTGAACCAGAAAATATATGGCTAATGTTCAAGCTTTTTTTAAAAAAAAAAATATCTCCCCAAAATAGTAGAAGAGCTTTCATTCCTCCAAAGACTTTCTTTTGTAAAACACGTTCATGAAAATGACCTGCTTGGAAGGGCATCAAATTACACATTTGCATAACTCAATTTTCTGAGCCTTTTTCATGAATTTTAAAAAAAGTGAGATATAAAAGTCTGCAGAGAATAGAAAAACCAGCAGGAAAAGAAAACCTGTAATAAAGGCCCACTACGAATTTGCAGAGACTAAGCCTGCCATAAATATCCCTACTAAAAATTCATGAGTTTGCTAGCTGTTCAGATACAATTAGTGAATATCATTACTATCCAATAAAAACATAAGCGGAATTTAAAAGCAAAACAGCAAATGATAACTTATAGAAAGAGGTTTTTTATGTCGAGTTGGTAATACTCTTTAAACAAGCAGTTCTATGAATGGAATATATGTGCCAATAAACAGATAGCTATTAATTCTATTGCAAGGTATTGGGCCTTTTTTTTTCAGGTGTTTCATTATAGTTTGAAACATGTAGGAGAGTTTATGATTATTCTTAGAATATCTACCCTGACCCATTTTATGTTGAAACTGCTAATAGAGGTATCATGTGTTACAACCAGTGGGTTTAAAATACTGTATTTATTGCTTTAACACAATTCTCACTTGGGATTATCCTATGAACTAGGCCTACAATATATATCAGTAGTCACATTAGAGTAAAAAAAATATGTTCTAGGATTTAGTTTGTTTGAGACTTTATAAAGCTGAGCCTCTGGGTCTTTTTTTTTTTTTTAAATAGTCCTTTCAAATGGACTGAGCAAGAAAGTGGACTTACCGTAATTGCTTTTGTGTGTAATGCTAAACCAGTGGTAGATAATTTTCTTACCCAATGGGCACAGACTGAATTGTGAGAACATACTGTGGATTTTCTACAAATGGCTGCCCTGATGGACATGGCCAATCACAAAACATCAGTTTATTTAAATATAACCATACCTATTTCTGAAATGTCAGGAAATAGTCACTATAGGGTTACCATGCCTGTATGACAAAAATCTAGCTAACCATTAGATGGCACCAAAGTTAACATTTTGTTATCTTTTTGCTGCCATCTATTGGCTGTCCACACTTTTTCAGCCTAAATACAGGAGTCCTTCAATGTAAATAATCTATGGCAGCCCTTTCTGCTGTCTGCTACAATTTAAACTTTGACGTGGTAGTGTCAAAGAATAACAATATCTTACCTGAAGGGATAGGCAAAGGCTATGTCAATGCTGCGGTCGCTCTGTGTCCTGTTTGCGCAGTCCACGCTGAGCCGCAATCCTCCAGAATAGCCACCACATGTTGCAAATGCAAAGACTGCAAAAAGCTGTGAAAAGATAATGATTCACCAAAGAGAATTCACCACTTGTACATAGTTATGACAACAGAAGCAACAATGACTCTCAGAGGAGGAAGTGGACAACTTCTTAAGGGGAGTAAGAGAAAACTGTTTTCAGTAATAAGGAGCGCCTTTGATTATTATTTCTAGTTTCTTTGAAGTAACAAGAATGTGAAATTCTAATAAGAACTGGCTCAGACTGGCCAGAGGCAGAAATTACCCCAAAAGTTGCACTTTAATAAACTGCAAATTCATTTTAATGTAAAAAAACCTATACCTGCTGAATATTCAATTGGTCATTAACAGGATCATGCTAAGAATATTATGTGATGCTGTGAACACAGTCTATATATAGTTGCTGCTCATGCTCTCTAGATACTTGACTTAAATTATGCTAGCCAATTGAAGAACACATTCCAAACCCATTATGTTTGAATTGTATATAAAGTGATTTCTCCCTTTTCTAAGGGTCCTTCCACCTTCTAGCTGTGGGAGCCTATCCTTTACTTATGCATAGATAGGTATTAATCTACTTTCCGGCTGGTCAAAGGGGACACCAGGCGAAAGAACCTTATTGTTGTTTACAGCTAGTGTTCTTACTGTAGTTTAGACTTACTTTTCTTGCTATTCTTTTAGCTTATGCCAATTTTATATCAGATGATTATGATTTGGTCTTTCAGATGAGTTTGAGATTTCCAATTTGCAGTTTCATCGCATCTGGAGGTGTCAAATTGGATTAATGTCAATTACTGTCTTACATTACCAGTAATTGTGAACAGGAGCTTGCATGTAATAGTAATGCTAAAGCAGATTTAATGGCAGAAAGATACTTACTTCTGTATTTTTTAGTTATAGAATCTTTTCTGAAGGTTTATGCTAGTTAACAAAAGCTCCCCCCACCCTCAAAAAAAGCCCAGGAAGCTGATTTTGTCAAATTATTTTCTTTGCTAGTTTCAGCCTTCATTTAGTGTACCTGCTGGTCTTCATGGCTAAATCTCCTGTAATATTGCATACTGGGTTTTTTTTAAAGTATCAAATGCCATATATGGGAAATTAGACACCACGGATATTTGTTTTTAATCAGGAGATAGGAGACATGTTTTTACAAACTACTTCAGAGTGAGTCATTTAATATTTCACTAAACTAGGAAAAGTAATTTTGCTATACACTATTAGTATCGAATGCAGAAAATTATTTCAAATCAAATAAAATTGCCTGTTCACACAAACCACTTTCTAAAACAAATTCTGTTGATGAATTTATCTACGATCATCTTTCTGAAAGCAATTCTAAAGTTTATAGCACATTCTATATGCAATTGTTTGGAAATTCTGTTTTGTGTCTAAAAATGGAATACAACCATTAACCAGCAGAAACAGAGTCATAATTAGATTTATTTATTAATATATTGTTATGTTGTTTTATTTTACTAGGAATCCTAATGTATTTTCCTTTCTTGAAATATTTCCTTTATTACAGATTGAGTCTGCCAGCAGCAGAAACTCAATTTTTCATTTATAAAATGGAAGTCAATTGGGTCCTTCTAAATGTGCTCAATAAATACTTTTCGATTTCCCAATCATCTTCACTATAGTTAAGGCCAAATGGTTATCAAATATGAGAATAAAATCCAACATGTCTAGAGGGCTCCATGTTTAGGAAACATGGCCTATTCTCTTGTAATGTCCCAAAGAGATAAAGAATAAATACAGAGAAGAGCAACAAAGATGATTAGGGGACTGGAGGCTAAAGCATATGAGGAACGGCTGCTGGAATTGGGTATGTCTAGTTTAATGAAGAGAAGGACGTGGGGGGACATGATAGCAGTGTTCCAATATCTCAGGGGCTGCCACAAAGAAGAGGGAGTCAAGCTATTCTCCAAAGCTCCTGAAGGCACGACAAGAAGCAATGGGTGGAAACTAATCAAGGAGAGAAGCAACCTAGAACTAAGGAGAAACTTCCTGACAGTGAGAACAATTAACCAGTGGAACAACCTGCCTCCAGAAGCGGTGAATGCTCCAACACTGGAAGTTTTCAACAAGAAACTGGACAGCCATTTGTCCGAAACAGTATAGGGTTTCCTGCCTGAGCAGGGGGTTGGACTAGATGACCTTCAAGATCCCTTCCAACTTTACTATTATTATTATTATTATAATTATTATGAAGCAAACAAGGGCAGATCACAGAGGCTGGATTCTTCTTCTTTATTTTTTTACTTGTTTTACTTATGACCACAGTGGAGCCCAAAATTTCCCTTGCTAAGCAAGGCAGTTGTTAGTTTTTGCCTCATTTTACGACCTTTCTTGCCACAGGTGTTAAGTGAATCACTGCAGTTCTTAAGTTAGCAACATGGTTGTTATGTCAATCTCCTTGATTTTGCTTGTGAGGTCACAAAAGGTGACCACATGAGCCCTGGGCACTGAAACCATTATAAATGCAAGAAAGCGTGAACAGTGGCCATAAGTCACTTTTTTTCAGTGCCGTTGTAACTTCGAACAGACACTAAATGAATAGTTGTAAATCTAGGACTACCTGTATTTGAATGGAAAACACATTAGATGGCCTGATAAGTCTTTCAATGTATGGTCACTATGGAAATACTGGTTTTATATTGACATTCTCATTCTGTGTAAGGCAGTGGTTCTCAACCTTTTTAATGCCGCGACCCCCAACCGGTCGTAAGTCGAGGACTTAAACCGGTCCTCAGTTGAGGACTACCCAACCGGTCGTAAGTCGAGGACTTTCCCTGCCCGGGAGCGCCGTGCATGCGTGGTTCCGCCCCCTGCGCCGGCCGAGACGTAGCTGGCAAGCGGCAGAGACGGAGCAGGCCGACCACCAGCTGGCCCAGCCCAAGGGAGGTAAGGCACCCGCCGGAAAAAGGGAAAAAATGGTGGACAGCCTTTCTTGGCGACCCCCGTGAAATGGTCGATCGACCCCAAATGGGGTCGCGACCCATAGGTTGAGAACCACTGGTGTAAGGCATGACATGGGGTGACACATTCTTTAATTATATGTTTTGTCCATATATCTGAATGCCATATCAATTTCATATGCTCAGCAAGCAGCCTCCTCACTTCTTTCCCCCACCACATGGAAACCTATAGTATTCATAAATGCCACACTTTCCTTCCTTCCTTCCTTCCTTCCTTCCTTCCTTCCTTCCTTCCTTCCTTCCTTCCTTCCTTCCTCCCTCCCTCCCTCCCTCCCTCCCTCCCGGGGCTGACTGTAAATCATATCATGAACTGCTGATTTGCAAATTCCAAATCAAGATAAAACAGAAGAAGAAAGCCAACTATTTTCCATGATATGGCCTTGAGCATATACCCACCATTTTAAGGAAAAGCATCAGGAATCACTTTGAAATTCTGAACCACGTGGATAGAGTGCCAGAGGAAACATGAGATGAAATCAAAAAGATGTTAAAGATGAAACAAAAAAGATCCAAACAGAATAAACTAAACTGGGTGTAAAAACAAATGGTAGAAATTGTCAAGAAGAAAAGAGAAGCCAAAGCCAAGAGAAATGAATACCTCAAGAAGAAACATAACAAAGAATTTCAGAGATTTGTTACAGACGTAGGGACTAATCCATCCTTTGGCATGAACCTGAATAACAGTTGAAGAAACAGAAATCCAAATTCTGTGACTGAAAGAGAATGATAGGAAAGACCTTTTCCTACGCAAGAGAGAAATAACTTGAATAAAAAAAGATGGCAGATTCCCAAGTTCCTGTAAAAATAGTTACAAGCAGTATTACATTGCAAAGACATTGAAGATTGAAGCAGAAACAGAAAAACAAGAAAAAACGTCCAAACAAAATCTCCAAACTCAGAAGGAGCTTCCAACTTCAAATTGGTATGTTAAAGGATGTCAATGGACAGACAGTAGTAATTGATTCAAACTAAGATGGAAGGTGTTGTGTCCCGTGCCTGCAGAAGCAGGCGCGGGAAGTTGCAAGAGTCCCAGGCATTTGCAAAAGCTGCCCGGGACCAGACTGACCGGCGCCGGCCTTGCGCGCATGCGCAAGGCGGGAAAGGACTGCCTTGTGACTGGTTGGAATTGCCCGGGGATCGGAGGGTATATATAGAGGCTTGCGTACCTCTGGGCTTGTCATTGTTCGTAGAATGGAAGCAGAGAATAAAGACTTGTTAGAAATGCTTCGTCTCAAGCGCCATTATTCTCCGGACTTAACACTGGCGACGAAGGTGGGATCCAGTCTATACAGCTAGGAAAGCTTGAAGACTCACCCAAAGAAGTCCGGAAGAGAAAACGGCGTGAAAGTCAGCGTTATCCTGCCAGTACGAAATCGCTGGAGGGTGCGTGCGGCTGCAGAAGAAGACCCTGATCCTCGATCATGGCGAAAGTTGGGCGTTTAGCGGAATTCGACGTCTCTCATCCCGAGAGGTGGGAATCTTATGTTGCAAGAGTCGAGACGTATTTCCGCATAAACCAGATTCGGGAGGAAGGCTTAAAGGCTGCCACATTGTTGTGCGTTTGTGGGCAAGACGCCTTTGAGATCGCCGAGAGCTTAATCGCCCCGGACTCGCTGGAAACGGTATCATACGCCGATCTGAAGAAAGTTTTAAAGGAACATTTCCAGCCCAAGCAATCTGTCATGGCTTGGAGGCACACATTTCAACAGAGGGATCAGCGAGCTGGGGAATCAGCAGAAGAATCTGCAAGTGGAGTGGTCAAGAATTTGCGGCCCACTCGAAGCGCTCCAGTGACTGCAACCATCCACAAGGAGGTGGACAAGCGGTACCAAGCAGTTGGGAGGAGGTCCAAAGATCGTCAGGACAAGGGCCCAGCTGAGATTTGTTGATTCGGATGCGGGGGTCGCCACAAGCGAGCGGAATGTCGGTTCCGTTCCGCCATTTGCCGAGCGTGCGGAAAGAAAGGCCACATTGCTGCGGTCTGCCTGGGTCGACAGAAGGAGTTTCTACAAAACAACATGATTCGCCACGCTACCGCGGTTCCTTCACACCCTTCTACCAAAGGTGGCGTCC